ATGTGTCAGTTTCTTTAGCCTTAAATGATGATTTAAATTAATTATTTCACAATATATTAGCAATTCAAGTATCACAGAAATAACAATGCATATTTACCAGTTGAAGGCCTCCAGAAATGTAGTGGCCGTCTGCTCTTTGAATATCAGGTAAAAGCTATCAATGATGACAAGTTTGGTATTCAATTTGGAGAAAACAAGCGCTGTAAAATTCACTGCATCATGGTTGAAAAAGACAGGAAATGGATTCTTTCTTTTTTGTCACAATGCCAATTATTTCAACTTTCATCAAAATCTTAATAAGAAAACATGGCTAAAATGGCGTTGGTGTTTCACTCTATTATTCACAATGTTAGACCAGCCGGTGGCTAACTTTAATGTGAAATAGATATAAGATCAGGGGAAAATAAGCAGAGTTTTTTCAAATGTTGGTCTAACTGTTGGATATAACGATGTCCAAAGAAGCCACCGTTCACTTTTAAGTCATTAAGATAGCGTTAGGGCCAATGTTGTCAAACTGTTGGCCAACCAACCAACCATATACCAACATTGGCCCAAACACACCTTTGCTATCTGGGTAGCTCCTACACATATTTATACAGGAGCTCCTAAACACTTTTATACAAGGAGCTCCTAAACACTTTTTATACTGTAGCTCCTACACACTATTTATACAGACATGTAAGCTCCTACACACTTTTATACATGTAGCTCCTAAACACTTTTATACATGTAGCTTCTACACACATGTTCCATACATGCATGAAGCTCCTACACATATTTATACAAGGAGCTCCTAACACACTTTATACATGTAGCTCCTAAACACTTTTTATACTGTAGCTCCTACACACTTCTATACATGTAGCCCTACACACTTTTATACATGTAGCTCCTACACACTTTTTATACTGTAGCTCCTAAACACTTTTATACATGTAAAGCTCCTACACAGTTTTTTTAAAGGTAGGTCCTACACACTTCTTTATACATGTAGCTCCTACACTCTTCTACATACTCTTTGATACACATATTGTATGTCTATACATGTAACTACACCTTCCATACATGTAGCTACTACACACTTTTTACATGTAGCTCCTACACATGTTTTTTATACATGTATCCTACACACTTCCATACATGTAGCTACTAAACACTTTTATACATGTAGCCCTCTAGGACTTTATACATGTAGTTCTTCCACTTTTATACCTATCACAGTTTTATAAATGAGCTCCTAAACACTTTTTATACATGTCTCCTACACAGCTACATGTAGCTCCTAAATGTAGCTCCTAAACACTTTTTTATACATGTAGCTCCTACACACTTTTATACATGTAGCTCCTACACATTTTTATACATGTAGCTCCTAAACACTTTTATACATGTAGCTCCTACACACTTTTATACATGTAGCTCCTAAACACTTTTTATTCTATACATGTAGCTCCTATAAACACTTTTATACATACACTTTTTAGACATGTAGCTCCTACACACTTTTATACATGTAGCTCCTAAACACTTTTATACATGTAGCTCCTACACACTTCCATACATGTAGCTCCTACACATATTTATATACAAGTAGCTCCTAAACACTTTTATACATGTAGCTCCTAAACACTTTTATACATGTAAGCTCCTACACACTTTTATACAAGTAGCTCCTACACACTTTTATACATGTAGCTCCTACACACTTCATTGACATACACTTTTATACATGTAGCTCCTACACAGTTTTATACAAGCAGTTTATGCACATACACTTTTATACATGTAACTCCTACACACTTTTATAGACATGTAGTCTCCTACACACTTCTATACATGTAGCTCCTAAACACTTTTATACATGTAGCTCCTAAACACTTTTTATACATGTAGTTCTCTACATGTAAGCACACACACATTTCTATATATGTAGCTCCTAAACACTTTTATACATGTAGCTCCCACACACTTTTTTTATACATGTAGCTCCTACACATAATTTTTATACATGTAGCTCCTACACACTTTTATACATGTAGCTCCTACACATATAGGTACAGACTTTATCTCTTTTATACATGTAGGAACACTTTTAGTGGATAAGTTTCTACATGTTTTATTTATGTAGGTTGCTACACTAATTTGACTGGACATGTATAATCACTCCTTAACATGAATCATCTCCCTATACATGTATCACTAAACACTTTTTAATGTAATCCCTTAACTACTTCTATACATGTAGCTCCTATCACTATTTAATAACTCAGCTAATAAACACTTGAGACACAGAAAGGAACATGTAAATTCTATGGAAACTTAAATGAATTTTTATCTTGAGTGTTTAATTTATGCTGTGGGTGTTTACTATGAAAAGTTTTCAACCTAGATGTGTTGGTTTTGAAGTTACAGCTGAAAAGAATGTACACTTCTGAAACTACATTTGACTATTGGAAAGAACTCCTAGAAAGTGTAATTGTTTTTATTTTGACTGAGAGAATTAGTTTGTTTCAGAAAAGGTACTGAATAAACAGTATGTGCAAACATGCAGCTGTCACATTATGCAAATACATAGAAGCTCCAACACTAACAATTACACATAAAGTTTCATACACAAGTTTATGAAGTCTGTGTGTGCCCTGGTTTCATCATCAAATACAGTTCTATAAAGTGTAGTCTCCTTGGGCCCTACTTTTTCTGTTTTTACAGGAATAGTTTAGGTATCACACTTTGTATACACATGTAAAACAGACCTACACATTATATACATGTCGCTCTTTAGCACACATTTATACATGTACTCTACACACTTTTATACATGTAGCTCCTAAACACACTTTCTATACATGTAGCTCCTACACACTTTTATACATGTAGCTAGTACCTACATGTAGCTCCACTTTTTATACATGTAGCTAAACACTACATGTACACTTTTATACATGTAGCTCCTACACACTTTTATACATGTAGTTCCTACCACTTTTATACATGTAGGTCCTACACTTTTATACATGTAGCTACACTACACACTTTTATACATGTAGCTTTACACACTTTTTATACATGTAGCCCCTACACACTTTTATACATGTAGCTCCTACACACTTTTATACATGTAGCTCCTACACACTTTTTATACATGTAGCTCCTAAACACATGTAGCTTCTACACACGCATACATGTAGCTCACTATACACACTTTTATACATGTAGCTCCTACACACTTTTATACATGTAGCCCTACACACTTTTATACATGTAGCTCCTACACACTTTTATACATGTAACACACTTTTATACATGTAGCTCCTACACACTTCTATACATGTAGCTCCTACACACTTTTATACATGTAACTTCTACACACTTTTATACATGTAGCTCCTAAACACTGTAGCTCCATACATGTAGCTCCTAAACACTTTTATACATGTAGCTCCTAAACACTTCTATACATGTAGCTCCTACACACTTTTTTATACATGTAACTTCTACACACTTTTATACATGTAGCTCCTACACACTTTTATACATGTAGCTCCTACACATTTTTATACAAGGAGCTCCTAAACACTTTTATACATGTAGCTCCTACACAGTTTTTTAAAGGTAGCTCCTACACACTTCCATACATGTAGCTCCTACACACTTTTATACATGTAGCTCCTACACACTTTTATACATGTAGCTCCTACACACTTTTATACATATAGCTCCTACACACTTCTATACATGTAGCTCCTACACACTTCCATACATGTAGCTCCTACACTTTTATACAAGTAGCTCCTAAACACTTTTATACATGTAACTTCTACACACTTTCACATGTGTAGCTCCTACACACTTTTATACATGTAGCTCCTACACACTTTTATACATATAGCTCCTACACACTTCCATACATGTAGCTCCTACACTTTTATACAATATAGCTCCTAAACACTTTTATACATGTAGCTCCTACACACTTTTATACATGTAGCTCCTACACACTTTTATACATATAGCTCCTACTTACACACTTCCATATACATGTAGCTCCTACACACTTTTATACAAGTAGCTCCTAAACACTTTTATACATGTAACTTCTACATACTTTCATACGTGTAGCTCCTACACACTTCCATACATGTAGCTCCTACACTTTTATACAAGTAGCTCCTAAACACTTTTATACATGTAACTGCTACACACTTTTATACATGTAGCTCCTACACAGTTTTTCACATGTAGCTCCTAAACACTTTTATACATGTAGCCCCTACACACCTTTATACAAGTACCTCCTACACATATTTATACATGTAGCCCCTGCACACTTTTATACATGTAGCTCATACACACTTTGCACCAATAAGAACAGGTTTAGTGATAAGTTCCAAATATATGTTTCATTTAACGGTTGCAATATTCTGACTGACAGGAATAATCACTCCGGGAATATGAATCATCTCCCTTATATCACTAATGTTTAATTTAATCGTTTAACTCTCATATTAAGACCTCATATCCCTGTTAATAACTCGTCATAGCACTTGAGAACAGAAAGGAAGTGAAGGGATGAAACTTAATGAATTTTTATCTTGAGTGTTTAATTTTTGCTGTGGTGTTTACTATGAAAAGTTATTCAACTCAGATGTGTTGGTTTTGAAGTTACAGCTGAAAGAATGTACATTTTGAAATTACATTTGACTATTGAAAGAACTCGAGAAAGTGTAATTGTTTTACTTTGACTGAGAGAATTAGTTGTTTCAGAAAAGGTAGTGAATAAACAGTATGTGCAAAATGCAAATGTCACATTATGCAAATACATAGAACAACACTAACAATTACACAAAGTTTCATGTTTGCGAGTCTGTGTGTGCCCTGGTTTCATCAAATATCCCCAGTTCTTAGAAAGGTAGGGTTCATTGGGCCCTACTTTTTCTGTTTTTGAAAGGAATATTGGGTTTAGGTGATCAACAATTTTGTATGAATAAAAACAGACCTACCATTATAAGACATTCGAACTTTGGCCCATCTTCAATGGAGAATTTCTCTGCATTAATGTTGATGAAGTAATGTTTGGGGCAGAGCTTGGAGCTGAGAGTTAGGGCATAACTTTTATGGTCATCTCTCTCCCGCACACTACAAAACAAGATAATAGATATCATCCTTTAAACAGACTGTTATCATTATCATATGACAAGAAAAATATGTAAATAAATGCACCGTAGAGAAATGTGTTCACTTGCATTTGTGAAAAAGTTCATTAATCTGAATCATACATATCTTTGAACAACATTGTGACATGGCAGCTGGAAACCTGAACAACATTGTGACATGGCAGCTGGAAACCTGAACAACATTGTGACATTGCAGCTGGAAACCTGAACAACATTGTGACATGGCAGCTGGAAACCTGAACAACATTGTGACATTGCAGCTGGAAACCTGAACAACATTGTGACATTGCGGCAGAACAACATTGTGACATGGCAGCTTGAAACCTGAAAAACATTGTGACATGGCAGCTGGAAACCTGAAACCTGAACAACATTGTGACATTGCAGCATTGGAAAAACATTGTGACATTGCAGCTGGAAACCTGAACAACATTGTGACATGGCAGCTGGAAACCTGAACAACATTGTGACATGGCAGCTGGAAACCTGAACAACATTGTGACATTGCAGCTGGAAACCTGAACAACATTGTGACATGGCAGCTGGAAACCTGAATAACATTGTGACATGGCAGCTGGAAACCTGAACAACATTGTGACATGGCAGCTGGAAACCTGAACAACATTGTGACATGGCAGCTGGAAACCTGAACAACATTGTGACATGGCAGCTGGAAACCACAACATTGTGACATGGCGGCTGGAAACCTGAACAACATTGTGACATGGAGCTGGAAACCTGAACAACATTGTGACATGGCAGCTGGAAACCTGAACAACATTGTGACATGGCATGGAAACCTGAACAACATTGTGACATGGCAGCTGGAAACCTGAACATTGTGACATTGGAAACCTGAACAACATTGTGACATGGCAGCTGGAAACCTGAACAACATTGTGACATGGCAGCTGGAAACCTGAACAACATGGCGGCTGGGTGACATTGCAGCTGGAAACCTGAACAACATTGTGACATTGCAGCTGGAAACCTGAACAACATTGTGACATGGCAGCTGGAAACCTGAATAACATTGTGACATGGCAGGTGGAAACCTGAACAACATTGTGACATGGCAGCTGGACACCTGAATAACATTGTGACATGGCAGCTGGAAACCTGAATAACATTGTGACATGGCAGCTGGAAACCTGAACAACATTGTGACATGGCAGCTGGAAACCTGAACAACATTGTGACATGGCAGCTGGAAACCTGAACAACATTGTGACATGGCGGCTGGAAACCTGAACAACATTGAGACATGGCAGTTGGAAACCTGAACAACATTGTGACATGGCAGCTGGAAACCTGAACAACATTGTGACATGGCAGCTGGAAACCTGAACAACAGTGTGACATGGCAGCTGGAAACCTGAACAACATTGTGACATGGCAGCTGGAAACCTGAACAACAGGGTGAAATGTGAACAAAGACAGCCCCTTAAAAAATATATACTATGGACTAAAAACTATCACTAAGAGATAATGATCTAAATGAAATACAGTCAAGACCTTGGTGTTGAAGTTGAAGCGACCTACGTAAATACTATCGATACAAGTTATCGGAGGTTCAACACAACCGCAAAAGGATGACCAATTTACTAATACCCCGGTATGTAGTGACCAAGCAAGCTGTTAGTGTGAGACACCTGTAAGGTTGACATCTGGAAGTTGGACACAACAGTGTGTTCTTGTACAATGCCATCAGATGGAGACATCCTGCATTACAATGTGTAGTTCACTAACAAAGTGAAATCCGAAATATTAGATTTATACAGATCAGTTCCTTTAGTAAGGCTATTTCAGATAGTTTATGGGGGAATTTTACATTGCCTAATACACACTTGAGATAATTTATTAGCATGATCAAAACATGGTCAAAGTTGAAATATGCAAAACATACTGCCAAGCACTGTAGCTAACCTGACCTAAAAGAAATTAAAAAAATTAGGTTTCACCGTCTACCTTAGTCTGGCAATATCAGATAGAAGTTTGCATTTTGAGAAGACATAAGAGCATGCCTTAATGTAAAATATTGTAAAACGGAACATGTGTGTTGAAGACCACAACTTAATGTCAAATTATGGTTATAAATAGCTATCGCAGGCATACTAAACATTGCATTCTTAACCCTTACACAAATCCTGGTATCATCATTGGTAGGAAAAATGAGTGAAATGGAAATAAATGTATTTTGAGATAATTTAGGAGCATGATCAAAAGGCATAGGTAAAGTCATGTTGAAATATTGTAGAAAACAAAGAACAACTACGTATAACTACACATATACCACATGTTATTTCATTCTGAATAAAAGTGACTGAATAATGGACATAAATAGTTTTTTCAAAATGTTTTCCATTGCCCAGTCTAAGGGCATTGGTCAAATCAAGACAAACCTTAAAAACATTGGGAGCATAGACAGTGCAGGGGATGGTAAAGGTGTGTTCTCATGGTGCGACTTGTAGTAACAACTTGTAGCATGCAACACAGTTGCAAAGTGAGCACATCCAAAACGTAATGATTTGAAATATCATACAAATAGTTGCAGCTGAGTTGTAACACATAGGATTTGTCCTAATTCCTATTACAAGTCCCATGCTCTTGAGTGTTCAAATAGCTTAGATCTATGTCCACCTCAAAGTGGCATCATGATGGAGAAACGACTGAAACAAAATGTAAAATTTTGACGTATTCATACATAGAAAATTCTTCAGTGACTTTGGATCTTTCTGTTCAAGCTCTCAAAAAACTTCTGCCTAAGAATCCAGTTGAGGACCAACACAGATTCAGGCTTTCTCTTCTTTTTTAGTGACTGCAACACATAGACTGACAAGAATGCTAGCATTTCTTCTTGACGAATCCATGTTGCCAAATCACACATGAGAATCGCACGAGATACAAGTTGTATGTGACTTAAAAAGTACACAAATAACAAAGTCGTTTAATCTTTATTGTTACTACAAGTTGTATATATGCCACAAGTTGTCACTACAAGTCGTGCCATGAGAACCCACTTTAAGCTTTATGTTTTTGTGCTTATGGCTTATGGAAAGGGTTTTGTTGCTTTATTGATAAACTGGTCATCACTGGAGGTAACAAGCATGTTAAGTTTCAGCTTCTTTAATCCATTTCTTTCAGTGACATGTTAATGACAAATGACGAAACTTTGTGAGCCATGTTTGATAAGTATGGAATGTACTTGGAACTGTCTTAAGATACCATCCAAATCACCAAGTCTCAGGTTTTCTTCAAGAAGGAAAATGTTTTATGTCAAAAGATTACTACTGACATCAACTCTGTCTGTCCATTCAAAACCCCTAGTGGGTAAAGGCTGACTCACAGTCCATCCATACACATTGTTTCCGTGGAGATAAAGAAGGTGCTTTGCTGGTTGGCTCAGGTCATAACCTTTCAAGAATTTATTGTTGGCCTTAGAGTGTTGTTCAGCAGCAACTGAAATTCTATGGGTTACAGCCCCGAGAAAGCTACATTTAAGAAAAACAGATTTGAAAATTGTGTTGCTCTTCCGGCAATGGACATGGTTGAGTGATTGTGAGAATGCGGCTCTTCCGGCAATGCGCTTTTAGCTAATCCATGTTCCCATAAATAATGTGTAATATTCTTTATGCAAAATCTAGAAATCCAGTTGAATTGTTTGGGGGGAAAGTCCAGATCACACAAACTAGCGGCCTCACATAGGTACTCAAACACCTTTTACGAATTATTTATGATTGTACAACCAATTATTTCTTCGAGGCATTTTAACTTATGGGAGGGTAAATTCAATGTTTTCTCCTTTTCTGATAACTGTTTGACATAAGAGCTATTGTTTACATTCATGCTAAAAACTCAACAACAAAAAAAGAATTTAGAAGAATGACCATTTATAGCACAAATATACTTATAAACAGCCACATATGTGACGCCTAACTCTTTCCATTTCATAGCTGTTTTTTAACCCAAATTTGTGACTAGATTTTCCAAAATCATGATTTGATTTTAAGTTGAAACGTCACAATAAATTTGATGGACAATTCTTGTCCAAACCTCTCTGGTGATGCAACATACCAATCATACAAATCAAACTAGTTTACATGAAGACATAAAATTACTAAAATTACAAATAAAACTTTCTTAAGAGCAAAAGCTAAAATTGTCCTTTTCCATAGCATGACCCATTATCATGTATCATTTTATCTCAGAACATATGTTATCATATATTAACTTAAACCTTCAATGGGAATAAAGAAGCCGCCCATCAAAAGTTAACTAAACAAACAAAGGACAAGTCACGAAAACAATTTGAATCCATCAATTGGTGGCACTTATTTGAAAAAACGGTATTGATGCCCTTACACATTGTGGCTTTCGCAGCATCAAGGTTTGTACCTGAAATGTGGCTTTAGTGGCAATTGGTATTTTTCAACTGTGGCTTTCCCAGGCAGACACGGTTTACTCCCATAATGCAGACCTCTAAAACGCAGACCTCCTAAAATGCAGATAAAAATAGCACACTAATTAATTGGGCCATGCTGATCACCCCTAATTCATTAATGGCCCGGTCCACTCCCCTGACATAAGGGATTACCGTTATGTTAAGTCACTGAGTAGTAGTGCACAACAACAACATTATCTAAAAACACTGCTCCATTCTTTAACTCATTAAGGCCGAGAGACGCATATATGGGGCAAATTAATCAGCTCCTCACAGCGAGTGACGTGTTTATGGGGTAGGTAATTAGCAGTTTCTCACAGCGAGAGCCACATACAGTCATCAACAGAAAGCACCTCTTATTCAGCAAGAGACGCACATGTGTGTTGCACTTTTAAAAAATGCACTGTACCTATTATTTCAACCAATTTAGCAGTACTGAGCAAATGTTAGCTTTTCTTGCGAGAGATCCCACCTTTAGTATCAATCAGAAGAAGTGTTTTGATAACAATTGCTAATCATTA